TTATTATTGTATTATTACTAATTTACTAAAAAGTTATCAATTATTGACTGCTAATCATTCATTTACTATTAAGTTATCACTAATTTTAGTTATCGATGATTACTATTAAGTTGTACTGATTACATTTAAGTTTTCAATGATTAATTATTAAATTATTAATTTTCTACTACTATGTGATCATTTATTTGTATATATCCAAAAAAAAAAAAAATAACTACAATGTATGCTAGATGATGTAAAGAAAAAGAAAAAGTTCAAGTGTAAATGACTTGAAAAATATAAATAAATACTCTTCATTTACTATTAGTAGTTTAACACATAATAAGTTAAAATAATAACTTTTATATTAATGCTAGTATTAAAATTAAATTAAATAAATATATACAATATATATTAAGTCAACATTTCTAAAATATTCTTCAAATTTTTTAATTCATGATAAAATAGTAAATATTAAGAAAAGTTTTATTCATGATTTGTTTGAATTATTAAGGTATATGTTTTTATATTTGTTAGTGAAGTACAACTGCTTATAAAAGATTGAATATTTTGAAGTATTTTGTAACCAATGGAATTAATAAACTTTGCCTTATGTTTTTATCTTTAAGCATATAACTTTGATTAAAAATTTTGTTATATACATGATATAAGTAATGAGAATAAATTTACTAAATAAAATTTATAAAAATTAAGCTAACAATAATTTTGAAAAATATTAAATTTACAATAATTAATTTTACATTCTCCAAAAAATTTCTTCTACTAAGAAAAAAACAATATATTTTTTATTGTTGTTACATTCTTATCACTATTATTCAAAATGACTTTTTTTATATTTTGATGCCAATCAACTTCTCCATTTTAAATAGGTAAAAAATATTGTAAGGGGTCATAATTAATCTCAATAATGTTTAAGTTTATGCAGTTTTCTTGAATGAATATGAACTATAATATCTCTTTCAAATGAAATGTTTGAATTATTTTCCTCAACCCATATAGCAGCAACTTGATCAACAAATAAATGATTTTAAACTCGTTCATCTAGATTAACATTTCTACAATATGAATTTCAAAATCCTCAAAAGAATATATATCCTTTAACCTCTACAAGACTTAGGTATAAGGATTTTTTTCTTTTAGAATTACTATTAGTATCTCCATTACTTTTGCAGTAAAATTTTCATTATGTTGTATTCTCATTCTATTTTGAAATTTATTATTGGTGTTAAAAAGTATAACTAAAATAACATGAATTAATCCATACCCAAATTGAGTATAAATATTTTTTTTACTCATTTTAAATTTTAATTTAATTAAAAATAACATAATACACATAACTATAAAAATGAACTAACTTAACTTGATTTTAATTTATTTTAAAAAGTCAACAATGTAGGACTGATTTGGATGTCATTGGATCTCTAGTGAAATGCGAATAGCTTAACTTTTTAGTACAATCGCATAGTAAATATTGTTTGGTCACATTTGCTATGTTTAAATCTTTTGATCGCATGAAAAAATGTCAATTTTGGACAAGGGGGTTAAGGAATTTTGTTCATTCCTATATTACCCTCAAATGTGTTTTTATTATTAAAAAACCTAACATTTGTTTTATTTATTATGATTTTTTATTTAAAAATTGTGAAGTAATTTTATTAATATTTAATTTAATATGATTACTTAATATATAAATAAAATTTATTATTATTTTAACTAAAAGTTTATAACTATATAAATAATTAAAATAAAAAATATTATTTGATTTTATTATTATTTTTATTATTATTCATTTTTAATTATTTATTAATAAAAATATTATTTGACATAAAAAATAATTTTATAATTTTATAAATGCTAAATAAGTTAAAATTTTTATTAAATAGAAATTTTAATCTAATGCCTATAATTCTCATTTTCTCTTCCATTATAATTCAACTCACTAGCACCGCTTCTTCTACATCTAAATATATATCTTATAACTGATTTTAATCTCATCACTATAATAATTAATATCACCATTATAATAATCAATCTTACCTCTATCTTTGTTTTCAATCTCATCGAAGTTAATTTCACTATCCATCCAAATGAACACTTAATAATTATTTAAAACAAAAAATGATTGAACATAACTAAAATCCATATTGAAATTGTAACCTAATCAAAATCCAATATTTCTTATTTATCTTTCATAACAATTTAAAAGTTCTTTATTTAAAATTTTCCCCCTTCATCTTCAATCTTTTATTTTTATTTTCTTTATGAATGAATTAGTTAATTAATTAAGAGTATTTTAAAAATGAAATTACAATTATAAGTAATTGAGTATACTTGTTCTTTATTTAAATTTAGGACAATTTTAAATTTAACTTTTTAAACAAAAAGAAGTATGCAACAATTATTGAGCTAAAATTGCTTATTTGCGTAAGTGAATAATTAAATATACTATGAATAGAAGTAGATAATAAAACTTGATTCAATCTAATTGTTGTCGATCCTAAGTCTAAAATCCAACTCAAAATTATAAAAGTCAAAATTCAAAATGATTAAAATACTAAATACACAATTAAATAAAAATTTATCAAATTAATTTTGCCAATGAATGCTCTTAAATCATTTTTTAATTTAGTTAAATTATAATTTGTAATAATATTTTATATTAAATGTAATAGTGATAATTAATTTGATAAATTTTAATTTTGTTGAGCAAATATTACCTAATATGACAACCTTAAAATTTTTTTAAAACAAGAATATTCTTCCATTGACATAAAAAAGAAAATGAAAAAAATATACAATATTTTTCCAAATAATGTTACAAAAATTTTGAAATCAATACGTTTGTATATTTTTCATTAAAACATCATATACCACTAATCTTCTTTGTGATATGGAGAAAATATAATTATGTATAATCAATTAATCTTTCATTTTATTTTTCTACTTAGGATAATCTTTCATTGGTAATTTCTATTAACTAAATGTAATTGTACATTCTATCAATTGAAAGTTTAAATTTTTTTTATTTAAAAAATTTTATAATCCATAAACTTTTATTATATAAAAATATTAAACTACATATTTTTAAAACTAAAATAAAATCTTAACCTTAATACTTCTCATTTTTTAAAAAAAAAAACATTCAATTCTAAAAATAACAAACTTTTTTGTGTAATACTTACACAATTTATAATAATTTCATTTTTAGTATTAACAACATAATTTTGCATGAATAAATGTATAAATACATTCAAAAAATAATTTCAATAAATTTTGTTGCACCTTAAAAGAATTCACCTAAAACAATTAATTTTACTTTCCTTAATAATTTTTATTTATAAAATTCATATTAGATCGTTCAATCGCTAAAATGACAAGCAAAACTAGCAATTTAATACAACTGAAAAAATTAAATAACTTTGTTATATAAACTAATTATATATATACATATTAACTTAAAATTTGAGAGAAAATTAAATTAATTATTATTTCAATTAAGACGAACAATTCTTATAATAATTTGAAGGAAATTAATTTTACATAAATCATTTAATGCTATGGATGAAAAGTCCAATTAAATTTTTAAACGAATTATATAGTACTAATTGTTGTTGGAAAGGTACAATTGATTTGTATTTAATTTAATATTGATTTTTGTTTATGGGAATAACAATTATAATATTCTAGAAAAAAAATACAAAAGAGAAATTAATAATAGATATCAAACTAAACTGTAAAAATGATTTATTAAAGAATTATTTCAAGGAACTAAGAAAATTTAATTATGTTATCAATGATCAATGATTAACTCATAAAACATATAAATAATAAAATCATTAACATACATATATAGTTAATATATTAAAACAAAAATTAAAAGACAAACAATATATATACTTAAATGATTTAATCAAGATTATCTTTAATGAAATTATTTATCAATATAAACTGCATATACAATTATTTTTATAACAACTAACAAAACAAAATTCATATATTTATTTTATTCTTATGCACATTAAGTTTTGATTTCTTTTTATTTGTATTTTCATTTAATGTGAAAAATTATTTTTTTATGAAAAATAAAAAAATCTTTTTACTTATAAAAAAGGAGTATAATAATAAAAAAGGTAATTTAAATTAAAATTTATAAAAACTACTAATAATATTTTAATCAATTACTTTTAATATTTTTAAAATTAAAATTTTAATTATAAAAAAATCTAAAAATAAAAAATTCATTTAAATTAAATTTTATAAAAATATTTATCTAAAATATTTTAGTCCTTCAAGTTTAATCACTTTTGAAATTAAAATTTTAAATAGTTTAATTTCACATAAACATTATTTTTAATTTTAGTTGATTTAAATTAAATTTAAATAAATTAAGAAAGGTTATATATTTAAAAATAAATTTATTAATTTAAAAATTTACAAAAAAATTTAAGCCAGATACCTTTGAAATTCACACTTTTATATATAAAAATTATTAAAAACAAAAAGCAAACAAACAACATATTAATAAACAATAAATAATCAAATTTTAAACGAATTTTTAACAAATCTGTTCAAAAACATAAACAAATTAAACATATCTCTATTCATGTTCAATTTATGTAATAAAAGAATATAAAAATATTATTCAAAATCATTTTTTAAATTTAATAAATGAATAAAAACAAACAAAAATCAAATGTATTCACAAATAATTCATGAAAGCTCTGGTCGTTTACACATCTAAAAATAAATACAATAAAATGTAACAACTGGGATGAACGGGGGAGTAACACTTCAATCGAGGAAGTAACACTTCAATTTCAAAACGGAGGATCAATAAATGATAACACTGATTCTTTCGGTATTCTCGTCCAAGTGTTTCCATCTTCACAGTCATCAAGCAAAATCTTAAGAAACAAATAGACACAACATGCTTTAGTCACCTTCCTTCTTGGCAATGACATCCCAACTTACTTGACTGAAAATCCAGTTCCTGCCTTCATAACATCAATGGGAGTTTGTTAGAAAACATCATCTTAGAACTCATACGCCTAAACTACAAACTAGCAATTACTTGGTTCCATTTGTTATTAACATTAAAAATAGATGATTACCAAGTCTACGTTCCACTGATCACCCAAAAGTATTATGGGGGAATTTCCTCTTGACATGCTTTGAAATCAAAATTACAAACAAGGATGTCACATGAACTTCAAATACTAGCACTAACATCAAAGCTTTAAAATTAAAGCATGCACTAACAAGTGATGTTGCAAGAACCCACTCGATTCATGCAGGTATTCTTAAAAGATGACATTTAACAAGCTTAGAGCTCAAATCTCAGCATATGTAGCCCTTTCTTTTTTTCTTAAGTTATGTCCTCCTCTGCACTATAAAAAAGTGACATTGCAAGTATTCCAATAAAGTGCTGCAAAGGAGTTTGAAAAACTATTATTGCAAATTTAAAAGCAAAAGGAAACAGCATCAGGAAAAAGCAAATCCTTATCACATGACAGTTTTGCAGTAATATTTTCAGACATAGGAAAAATTTTAGATAATTCAACCCCAATTTCAGAATAAGTATATGCCCTACACTTGAATTGACTGTAAATTGAACAGATACTAATAATGAAATATAAGAAAACCTTTGTAGTGGTTGCAATTGCAAAACTCCAAACTCTTCAATAGAAGAGCAGTGAACTTGCACGCATAGACCATCAATTATGATGCTAGGGATATGAGAAATTTTAAGCCAGTCCTCTCCTGTCTCCTTTCTGCAACGATCTGAAAGAATAGGACTCTGACATATATCTAATTGCTTTAGACTTGTATTCTGAAGAATGTAGCCAGGCAGTGTCCTTAACTTTGGGCAGGAATCAATTGTTAGGGAACAAAGCCTTGGCATAATACTAATATGTTCTTCTTCTTCTCTGCTTTTTAATGGGATCCAATAATCCCACTTTTCCATGTCACAAAACTCAAGATGTTTTAAACTAAGAAAGGCAATGATAGATGATGAAGATGAGGATAATGCCGATATCTCTTCTCTTTCTACACCCAAAAATTCAACTCCCACTTTCTCCACTCTTCTCATTTTCCCTATGTAAAGTGATTCAAGGGATGGCAATTTCCCCAAGGGAGGCAATAAGTTTAAGTGAAAGCATAAACACAGTGAAACATGCTTTAGCTTGGTCAGATCCATCATCCAGTTGGGGAAAATGGTGGTGCTATTGTAGCACCATATCTCCAACTTTTCCAAGCAAGGAGGTGGTTGTAAAGCTTCAAGAAGTCTTCCATCATCTCTTCTCAGCCATGTCTCTGGCATCAACCCCTTGGAAATAGTAAAATCTAGTATCAAACTGCGGAGGCCTTTCTTGTTTTGAAGTTCTGCTCTCTTAGCTTCAGTCGCATCACAAACTCCTAATCCACTTATCTTCAGATGTCCTCGAAGATGCATTAAGTTTTGAAGATCTCCAAGAGTAGATGCTCCGCTGTTAGTGCCACCATCCACTGCCACGAACACCCTTAGTGACCGAAGGTTTGTTAATCTTCCAATTCCTTTCGGCATTGCCATCAAGCTCACGTCCGTCCATTCATTATCAAGATGCCTCAAGTTGATTAATTTTCCAATTCCATGTGGCAATTCTTTAAGACTATCGCACCATGTGAGGTTTAAGGTTTGTAAATTACATAACTCGCATACTGATTCAGGTAATTCTTTCAATTTTCTATTATGTTTCAAGTTAAGGTATCTCAAATGAACCAATTTTCCTATTTGATCAGGAAGTTCGTCAACTGAATTTCCAAACAAACTGCCACTCAAATTTAATGTCCTTATACAAGTCAGTTGATCAAACAACTTGGGCAAAAATGTGCTTACTGATGAAGTATCATGATTGCTTGAGTCAATAAGGAGACTTCGCAACTTTTTGGAGTAGCAAATAGCAGGGTCAGTTGGTACAAGTTCTTTGCCAATCAATGTTACATGACGAGCCTTTTCACAAGAAGAATCTGCTCTGAACTCTTGAAAACCATCATTTACTAGCACCAAACATTCAGTTTTCGTTAAAAGTTGAAGAAAATCATGTACTATATCATGCATTTTAAATTCCAGAATACCATTATCATGTTCAACCCTTTTAAAATCCTGAAAAAAAGAACGCATCATTAGCTCGTCAAAATATTCCTCACCCACAATCTCCATCTCTTCACCCCGCACTCCCTTCAGGTAATCTTGAGCCATCCACAACTTGATCAATTCATCTTTGCTTAAGATCTTGTCTTTAGGAAAGACAGCACAATATGAAATGCATTGCTTAAGAGCTGAAGGTAACTCGCAGTAACTCAAAAATAATGGAGGGAAAAGATCTCGCTCAGCCTCTTCAATGCCCCATATTTCGCTATCCAAGACACTTTGCCATTGTTCTCTAGTTCTCTTGAGCCGCAGCAGGCCGCCTACAATCTTTGCAGCAAGTGGCAAGCCGTGACACTTTTCTGCAATTTTCCTGCAGATATCTTTTAAAATTTCACTCTCCTCTCTTTTCCTTCCATAGAATGCTCTATGGCTAAGTAATGAAAAACATTCTTCTTGAGACAAGGTAGGTAATGGAAATAAGTTTGCTGTTGCTGTTCCCATAATTATAGCAACTCTTTCATTACGGGTGGTTATCAAAATTCTACTCCCAATAGAGCAATACTTGAGGGAAATTTTCAATTGCTCCCATTTTGTTGCATCTTCAGTCCACACATCATCCAACACAAGGAGTATTTTCTTCCCCACAACATGACTATGAATTTGCTTCAAAATGTTGTCCTTTCCAGCTAAATTTGGAGTTTCACCTTTAAATGCTTCAAGGATCTCTTTGGCAATCCTTATCTCGTCGAAAGTGTCTGAGACACATATCCATATTCTCTTGTCAAAATGACATTCAACATCATTGTGATTGTAAACCAGCTGAGCAAGAGTCGTTTTTCCGATTCCTCCCATCCCTACTATAGAGATGACATGGAGGCTCGCCCCTCCTCCGTTACTATTCTCTCCCACCAACATGTTCACCAGAATTGTTGTCTCTTGACACCTACCATAAACCTCTTCTTCATTGATGAAAGAGGCAGTTATTTGCCTTTTGGGTTCTTCAACTCCCTTCTCTAACCCAAGCCTATACCTTTCTTTTTCAGTAGCTATACAATCGAGTTGTTCATTCAAGCCTTTTATCTTTGAAGCAATACTATAGTATAGAATACTATGAGAGGTAAAGGAAGAGATAGAATAGCGTATCTTCTTTAGCAAGGGAAAATCTTCAACTTCTTTTTGTTCTTTCTCAAGTTGAGATTTGAGTTTCGCAGTATTCCACTCATCTAACACATCATCAACATCATAGGCCACATCTTTGAGTTTCTTTAACCAATTTCTCACATTGAAATCCTGTATCTGTTGAAGGCAAACGATAAGATTTATTGTAACGAGTGGAAATGCAAAACAAACGTATTAACAAGTATACATTCAATGAGCAATTTTAACCCTAAACCCTAAACCTTAAACATTCTCATGGCTTAGATTTATTGAAATCAAAATTTATAAAACTTTTTCAGTTTCATCCCTTGTCAAATATATATATTCTATTTCTATTTCTATTACGGAGGAAAAGTATTCACAGAGGGCCCACTGTTTGACATTATAAAGAATCCGAACTCCATATATAAATAAAAAAAAAATCTAAATATAATAATGGGGGATGCGGCAACTCGTACCTGTTTCGATTCTGCATCTTGAAGAACTGAATGGATATCCTGAAAATGGGTTGTCATTTTCTGGATTTCTTCTTCAAGAGCCAGGGCAACCCCAACGTTGTGTTTTATCTCTTCAGGTACCATCATCAACGAACCCAACTTCTCCACAACTGCTGAAACAATTGATTTCGCCATTGCTTCTTCTTCAGATTAAAAAAAAAAACTATTTCATAAGAAGAAACACACACCCCCCCTCCCCCCCCCCAAAAAAAAAAGAAGAACTGTGGGCTGTTTTTGCTTTCTTGTGAAGGTATAATTGGTAATAATTTATTGCTGTATTTGCACGCAAAGCTCCATAAAATATATTAGCCTTCGTCACTAAGGAGCCCGAAGGTTATAGAAGTATTTCACATCTAATAATTTTTTAATATTTTATAATTTTATATATAAATTAATTTTTTTATTTATTATTATTTAATTTTAAATTAAATATTTAATATGATATAAAAATAATATTTTTCATTATTTTTTAATTTATCATATGAATTTTTTTTATTTTTATGATAAAAATATGTTAAAATAAATTATTTTACATTTAATAAATTTTTAATTTTTTATAATTTTATATTTAAATTATATTTTTTTGCTTATTATCAATTAATTTTAAATTAAATACTTATCACGTAAATCCATAACTTCTATACTTTCCGTAGTCTCTAGTTCTTAGAATAATAAGTTTTTCTGCTGTAAAATCACAATCACAATCACAATTTATCATCGTACTTTGATATTATGATATTTCATTAGAAATTAAAAAATTTATATAATAAAAAACAATGTAAATAATAGATGAGATTAACAATTCAATTAAAAAATATAAAAAATTATTTTATTTATTTTATTTATCAAATAAATAAAAATATTATAAATTATATTTTTATTTTTATTTTTATAAATAATAACATTAAATAAAAATTCATCTATATATATTATTTTAATAAATAATATTTTTTTATTATTAACAAATAACAATATTATGATCCAAGTAGCATGAACAACACCTTTACAGTGGTTTTGGCAGAAGTTCTACAACGAATGACTTACATTTTATTTTATTTTTTTAATTTAAAGCTATCGAAATTTAAATTTTAATAATTTAAATTAAAATTTTAATATTCTATCAATAACTTACGTATCAATAAGTTGCGTGACCATTACATAAAAGAAACTATAAGACTTTAAATCACTAATCAAAAGAAAATAAATAAATTCCCTCTGCCAGCAGAGTAAGTTGCAGCTGGCTAAACTAATTTACTTGAAGCAATCAAGATTTGAAAAATGTAGATCAATTAGTCACGCAGCCTTGATTCGAAAGGCTAATCATAAAAGTTCAGGAATGAAGAATTGAAGATGAAAACCAATGAGCTACTGAATTTGCTTAATTAACAGTCATTTGGTTCAGTTAATGCTGAGTTGGCATAAATCAGCTTTGATGGATAGTTGCTCAAGTTATCTCCCCCAATTGAAAATTTTCCCCGTAAACAAATTATTGTAGCAATCAACATGACAGTATGACACCTAAACATGACAAAAACAAATCTTCAAGCTTAATTTAAATAAAAATTACAAGAAAAGGTACCACCACCAACACGTTACACGTTCAATTAGTACTTCGAAAAGATGTTATATCAACTTTATTCACACCAAGCTTCAACTTTATTTTTTGTCTTTTGGTTCGAACTCTCGACCCTGCAGACGACTTTGTGGTAAGCTTGAGGTTTTTTTTTTTTTTTTTTTTGGTGCAAGTAGTTACTGGTAAGCTTTTTCCTTTTTACCTTTAAACGGAACTTAAAGAACAACAGGGCAAGCCAGCCTGCAACTTCCGTAACTGTATCAAAGGTGATAGTTCCCGGGAACTATCATCATGGCCCCTAGCCAAGTCTTCCAGCATATACACGACCTCGGACAACACCTTAACGCCATTAAGCTCCAGATCTGCCTCCACTTAAGACGACAACATCGCCCTTACGTGACCATGTTCCATGTTACGTGCCCCAGCATCTTCCCTCTGTACCCTACAGCCACGTCCAAGCTGGTAAAGTCCATGGAATACACGTCACTTTCAAAGTAATCAACAAAGATATATCATATATCTACAGCTACGATAGGTATTATATGAACTTGCATACGGTTACGTGCATCCGTACAATCTTAACTTCAGGGTCAGACGGTCAGAAAATGCACACCCAGGCAGCTTACAACACCAAGGAAGCAGTGCATAGTATCGAACAACCACGCCGCTGAGTCTCTGTTAATAATTTAGAATGTAATGTATATCACATTGGATAAAAAAAATTTAATTATTGATAAATAAAATTAATTTTTGTATTAATTTTATTTATATTTTAAATAATTATATTTGAATAAAAATAATAATTATATGATAAATGATCAAACTATTTAAATATAAATAGATTTTTTTCATAAAAGTCATGATTATACAAAAAGTTATAACCATTTGAATAAAAATTTATATTTGTTCATTCATTAGAAGTAAATCTTTTAATATAACTATTTTCACTACTTCTATTTAAAAAGTTTTGAGACTTTGTTGTATTCTAAAATTATAATTATCTTTAGGAAAATGCTCTTCACGCCTCAAAGCCAAAGTTCTTTTCTATTATTTTCGTTCTTTTATTTATTTTTTCTAACAATTTAAATGCAATTATGTGAAATTCGCATTTCGCATGAGGAAACTACAAAGAAAAGAAATTAGCAAAGTTGACAAAATCGACTTTGGAAATAAGTGTGAAAAGTTTCAATTATCCAAATGGTTTTTATATTCTACTAAAAGAATTGATGATTAACAATTCGTAACAGACCTTGAGTCCATTGAATTTTGCTTTTTTTTTTTATTGACTATTCTTTTAATTTTTTGATTTTGAATTAAATTATTTAATTTATAACTCATAATTTTAGTTTTGAGATATAGTGAAAGTATAAAATTATGTTTATTTTAAAAGCTATGAGTGATTCAAAAATGTTGTGAACATAGAAAAAAATTAAATAGCAAGATGAATACTATTTGACCCATTTGGGTGATGGACATGGATTTGCTCATGGTAATAAATTGGTAAATCGTTTCCATGATGAAATAGATTCGTAAGTTTCCATAAGTTGGCATGAAAGTTTCAAAAAGAGACGATAGAAAGCATGAGTATACTTAAAAAAAATTTGAGAGTGATTATATTTGACATCATTCTTATTTACGTATATTCTTATATTGAGTTTAAATAAAAGTTTTGAAACTTTTATGAGAAGAAAATATTAAATATTTACTATTTATCTTTCATTAAAAGTGGATTTGGAGGCCTCCTACTTTAAAAAAAATAAATAGTGAAAAGATAAATGAAATGGTAACTTAATTAAGTATATATGATATCTTGATAACTAAATGGCACATTCTTTAATAAAAAAAATGCATATTTGCACATGGTGGAAGTAATAAGAATAAAAAGAAATAAAAATTATCACCATAGTGTTGTAAGGTTTTAGTAAAATTTTATGAGCAAATTATAGAATCTAATAAGTTTAGTATAACTTATTAAAGTAAAATCATAAAAAATCCCTTAAATATCTTTAAAGGACTAAAATGACTTGGCTTATTCATTGAGTTTATGCATTTATCTAGAAAGTATAATTTTATTAAAGATATATAAAAGTATTTAAATAAAATGGTTGAAATTTATGAGTGTAGAGTTGTGATCACAACTAATATCATTTATTTCTTAAAATGACAAGAATAAGATAAAAATGTCTAGAGCATATAAATGATATGCAAAATAAAAAATTTAGACATATTAGCCTAAAATAATTATATTATAGAGTCAATCTCAAGTGAAGGTAATTATCATAAAAGAAAATTAAATACTAAGATATTTGATTAATAGTACTAGCTACAAGTATAATGGATTTAAACCCGTGCTATTATATACCAATAATGAAAACTCAACTTTGAATTAGTAACTTCTAATTATAAAGTTTAATGGGTAAAAATAAATTATTGTTATGTGTATATTAAATACTAGTAAAATCTATTTAAATTTTAAAAACTAGTATAATCCATTGTATAGGGAAGATGGATTTTTATACTCTTAATGGAGTTTGTTATTTAAATGTTTAAAATAATGGAGACATACCGAAAACTCTACCTATATAAACATATAAGTGATGCAACTTTAACAAGAAAAATTGAAGTCTCTCTTTGTAAATATTTATGTATAGGATATTTACATAACTATAATAGTACTAAAACGGTTGTAAAATTTTGACAAAAAAATAAATAAGTGTTATGTGTGCTATATCTTTAATTCTTAATACTAAGAGTTGAAATTTAATTTGTGAACACCATCAACTTCGCTAGAATTTTAAGATATATACGTCAATTTAATGTTTAAATCGAGAGATATCTTCTTATATTTATAATGTTTATTAGTGTGAAAAGTTAAAGATTAAGCACTAACATTCCAAACTAATGGGAGATTGTTAGCAGTTTAGAATGTGGACTATCCTATATTAGATAGAAAATTTTAATTATTGATGAGTAAAATTAATTTTGTATTAGTTTTATTTATATTTTAAATAATTATATTTGAATAGAAATAATTATTATATGATAAATTATCATAATTATTTAATATAAATAGATTTTTGTTTATAAAGATCATGATTATATAAAAAATCATAACAATTTGAAGAAATATTTTATATCTGTTCATTTATTATAAATAGATATTTTAGTATAACTATTTACACTATTTCTATTTAGAGAATTTTGAGGTTTCATTGTATCTTAAATGTATAATTATCTTTAAAAAAGTATTTTTTAATCTTCAAAGTCAAAATTTTTTTTTATTTTTTTATTTATTATTTCTAATAATCTTTAGGGTGATAGTAGGGCAAAATGACGTAGTTTTAATCACGAGGTTGGTGTGGCAAAGCAATGTAGTGGTACGGCGACAGTGGTTCTGCTGGTGGTGAAGGTTGTATGTGTGAGAAAAATGTTACTTAGGACTTAGGAGTGTGTAAGGAAGAGAGAGTGTTTATGTTCAGAGGAAGGTGGGTTTTTTGTTTGCTTTCTCTTTATTAAGTTTGTTTGTGACTGTGGCCAATTGTGAAAGTTTTATTTCTTCTCTTTGTAGCAGAAGAGATTTGGGTTTTGATCATTTGATGGAAAAGCAATGAGAAATGATTAGTTATATGGTGCAGCAAGGGTGTTGGGTGATTTTTGTTTGCTGAATATTTAAGCCAAAGTACTATTAAATTTAATTACTAAATATTTTGCTGCAGATATCATTCTGTGTCATTGTCAATGCCTTGAAACGGTTTGGTAAACTTTTCCGGATGGCTAACTTTAGGTATACAAGTTGTAAATAAAACAGAAAAAATGTCATTTGATTGTATGATAGACTCTGAAAATGAAAATAATGATGTTGATGATGAGATTGATAAGATTAATTGTTGTAATAATAGAATTGAGATTTAAATGAATGATAAAAATATATATTTAAACATAAATACAGAAATAACGATGAATGGTGGACTATTCAACTAGAAGTATCATAATTAAAAATATCTTTTATTTTAATTTTAAACTAAAGTAATGAACTGTCTTATGACTCAATGGTTCACCGATTTTTTCCCCCAATCCCCTGAAAAAACAATAAAAGCTGAAAATGCTATCCAAATGCAAGAGCGATACAATTAAAAACCACCAATTGCAAACTTTCTGAGATTGTTGCTTGGCAATGTAGATGTGAGAGCAATAAAAGTCAAGTCCTTAATTTATACTAGGTTCTCTTATGCTTTAAATTTGTTGGAAATTTCAGTTTAAAGGGTAGATAGTACAGCAATTTATATTATAACCCCAAAAGAACAAAGAGATTGAAAGTTTCTTCATTTTCTTAAATCATCTTAAAGCGCAGAGCTTAAATAACTTTGCTCCTTTGTACTAAATGTACCTAGAAGAAAAGAAATAAGTATAATAAAATGCAACAATTGGGATGAACGGGGAAGTGACACTTCAATTTCAAAACGGACGATCAAGGTACGATAAATGATAACGCTGATTCTTTCACTATTCTCGTCCAAGTGTTTCCATCTTCACTAGTATCAAGCAAAATCTTAAGAAACAAAGAGACACAACATGCTTTAATCACCTTCCTTCTAGGCAATGACATCCCAACTTACTTGCCTGAAAATCCAGTTCCTGCCTTCATAACATCAATGGCAGTTTGTTGAAAACATCACTTCAGAAATCATATGCCTAAACTCCAAACCAATAATTACTTGGTTCCATTCATTATTAACTTTAAAAATAAATGATTACCAAGTCTATGTTCTATTGATCACCCAAAAGTTTTATGAGAGAATTTCCTCGACATGCTTTGAAATAAAAAATGTAAATTAAGATGTGAATTAACTTCAAATACTAACACTAACATCAAAGTTTTAAAATTAAAGCACGTATTAATAAGTGTCAATGCATGAATTTATTTAATTAATTCATATAAATACTTTTAAAAACTAATATTTAATAAATTTAAAATTTAAATCTCAATGTAAATATATTCTTCTCTTATCCTAAGTTACATCCTCCCTTGCACTAAAAAAAAGTGACATTTCATGTATTCCAATAAAGGCGACTTGAAACAAAAGTCAACTGTTGAATATTGCCTATAATTATTATATTTTTTAACAATAACTGACTATCACGTTGCTTGCTAAGAAGAAAAACAAATGACATAAAGATAATTATAGTTCATACATACCTCTCCTTTTTGATACACATCAATTTTCTTGAAACGCTTTGAGGAAATTGTTAGAACTTGACAAAGAGCTGAAAAGCAAGCAAATAGTAGGAGTTAATTAGTTAAGGTAAAGATACAATAGCATTGATGCAACACTGTTTTTCTTTTCTTTTCTTTTTCTTGCAGACCAGAGGAAAAAATCAGAAGTTCATTTTTGCGAGAAAGCTGCATTAAAAATTAGAATTGAGAGTTTTAAACACAATACACTAACATGGATATGAAAAAAGACACAAAAATGATAAAGTTTAAAATTTTAACAAAAATCATGTGAGCTTGGCAAAAATAAAATAATATGTTTTGAATTTAACGTGTCGATATGAATTATGACATAATAATTTTTGTGTTGTATACGTATTAACATGAAATATATAAACACAAATATACGAATTGTGAATCTAATAAAACTAATTTATATTACTTAGAAATATTCTTCATTTCTAAAATATAATAAAATTGAAAGTTTTAAACACAATTAAGTGACACAGATGCGAAAAAAGACACAACAATTATAAAGTTTAAAATTTTAATGAAAATCATATGTGGGTTTGACAAAAAGAAAATAATATGTTTTGAGTTTTACGTAAAGACACGAATTGTGACATGACAATTTTTGTGTTGTATACGTATTAACACGAAACAGATAAACACAAATACACAAATTGCGAGTCTAATAAAACTAATTTATATTAGCTAGAAATATTCATCATTTCTAAAATATAATCATTAGACAAAAAGTAAGTATGGAGTTAAAATAAAATTTGCTGCAAAGAAGTTTGTAAGGCTATTATTGCAATTAAATTTAAAAGCAAAAGGAAACAATATCAGGAAAAAGCAAATCCTTATCACATGACAGTTTTGGATTGACGTTTTCAGAAATAGAAAATTTTTTGACAATTCAACCACAAATTTAGGCAGAGTATATGCCCTACATTTACTGTAAATTGAACAGATACTAAAAATGAAATATAAGAACACCTTTTGTGGTGGTTGCAATTGCAAAACTCCAAACTCTTCAATAGAAGAGCAGTGAACTTGCAAGCATAGACCATCAATTATGATGCTAGGGATATGAGAGATTTTAGGCCACTCCTTTCCTGTCTCCTTTCTGCAACGTTCTGAAAGAATAGGACTCTGACCTATATCCAATTGCTTTAGATTTGTATTCTGAAGAATGTAGCCTGGCAGTGCCCTTAACTTTGGACAGGAATCAATTGTTAGGGAACCCAGCCCAGGCATAATACTAATATGTTCTTCTTCTTCTCTGCTCTTTAATGGGATCCAATAATCCCACTCTTCCACATCACAAAATTAAAGATGTTTTAAACTAGGAAAGGCAATGATAGATGATGAAGATGAGGATAATGCCGATATCTCTTCTCTTTCTACACCCAAAAATTCAACTCCCACTTTCTCTACTCTTCTCATTTTCCCTATGTAAAGTGATTCGAGGGATGACAATTTCCCCAAGGGAGGCAACAAGTTTAAATGAAAGCATAAACACAGTGAAACATGCCTCGGCTTGGTTAGAACCATCATCCAGTTGGGGAAAATGATGGTGCTATTGTAGCACCATATCTCTAACTTTTCCAAGCAAGGAGGTGGTTGTAAAGCTTTAAGAAGTCTTCCATCATCTCTTCTCATCCATGTCTCTGGCATCAACCCCTTGGAAATAGTAAAATCTAGTATCAAACTGCGAAGGCCTTTTTTGTTTTGAAGTTCTGCTCTCTCAGCTTCAGTCACATCACGAACTGCTAATCCACTTACCTTAAGATGTCCTCGAAGATGCATTATGTTTTGAAGATCTTCAAGAGTAGATGCTTCGTTATTAGTGCCACCATCCACTGCCACGAACACCCTTAGTGTCCGAAGGTTTGTTAATCTTCCAATTCCTTTCGGCACTGCCATCAAGCTCAAGTCCATCCGTTCATTATCAAGATGCCTCAAGTTAACTAATTTTCCAATTCCACATGGCAATTCTTTAAGACTATCACACCATGTGAGGTTTAAGGTTTGTAAATTACATAACTCGCATACTGATTCAGGTAATTCTTTCCATTTTCTATTATGTTTCAAGTTAAGGTATCTCAAATGAACCAACTTTCCTATTTGATTACGAAGTTCGTCAACTGAATTTCCAAACAAACTGCCACTCAAATTTAATGTCCTTATACAAGTCAGTTGATCAAACAACTCGGGCAAAAATATGCTTACTGATGAAGTATCATGATTGCCTGAGTCATTAAGGAGGCTTCGCACCTTTTTGAAGTAGCAAATATCAGGGTCAGTTGGTACAAGTTCTTTGCAAATCAATGTTACATGATGAGCCTTTTCACAAGAAGAATCTACTCTGAACTCTTGAAAACCATCATTTACTAGCACCAAACATTCAGTTTTCGTTAAAAGTTGAAGAAAATTGTGTACTATATCATGCATTTTAAATTCCAGAATACCATTATCAAGTTCAACCCTTTTAAAATCCTGAAAAAAAGATCGCATCATTAGCTCATCAAAATATTCCACACCCTCAATCTCCATCTCTTCACCTCGTACTGCCTTCAGGTAATCTTGAGCCATCCACAACTTGATCAATTCATCTTTGCTTAAGATCTTGCCTTTCGGAAAGACAGCACAATGAGAAATTCACTGCTTAAGAGCTGAAGGTAACTCGCAATAACTCAAAAACAATGGAGGGAAAAGATCTCGTTCAGCCTCTTGAATGCCCCATATCTTGCTATCCAAGAAACTTTGCCATTGTTCTCTGGTTCTCTTGAACCGCAGCAGGCCGCCTAGAATCTTTGCAGCAAGTGACAAGCCGTGGCACTTTTCTGCAATTTTCCTGCAGATATCTTTTAAATTTTCACTCTCCTCTCTTCTCCTACCATAGAATGCTCTATGGCTAAGTAATGAACAACATTCACAGGGAATGTAATGGAAATAAATATACTGTTGTTGTTCCCATAGTTATAGCAACTCTTTCATTACGAGTGGTTATCAAAATTCTACTCCCAATAGAGCAATACTTGAGGGAATTTTTCAATTGCTCCCATTTTGTTGGATCTTCAGTCCACACATCATCCTACACGAGGAGTATTTTGTTCCCCACAACATGACTACGAATTTGCTGCATAATGTTGTCCTTTCCAACAAAATTTGGAGTTTCGCCTTTAAATGTTTCAAGGATCTCTGTGGCAATCCTTCTTTCATCGAAAGTGTCCGAGACACATCCATATTCTCTTGTCAAAATGACATTCAACATCATTGTGATTGTAAACCAGCTGAGCAAGAGTCGTTTTTCCAATTCCTCCCATCCCTACTATAAAGATGACATGGAGGCTCGCCCCTCCTCCGTTACTATTCTCTCCGACCAACATGTTCACTAGAATTGTTGTCTCTTGACACCTACCATAAACCTCTTCTTCATCGGTGAAAGACGCAGTTATTTGCCTTTTGGGTTCTTCAACTCCCTTCTCTAACGCAAGCCTATACCTTTCTTTTTCAGTAGCTATACAATCAAGTTGTTCATTCAAGCCGTTTATCTTTGAAGCAATACTATAGTACAGAATACTTTGAGAGGTAAAAGAAGAGATAGAATAGCGTATCTTCTTTAGCAAGGGAAAATCTTCAACTTCTTTTTGTTCTTTCGCAAGTTGAGATCTGAGTTTCGCTGTATTCCACTCATCTAACACATTATCAACATCATAGGCCACATCTTTGAGTTTCTTTAACCAATTTCTCACATTGGCATCCTGTATCTGTTGAAGGCAAAAGATAAGATTTATTGTAACGAGTGGCAATGCAAAACAAACGTATTAACAACTATACATTCAGTAAGCAATTTTAACACTAAACCCTAATCATTCTCATGGCTTAAATTTATTGAAATCAAAATTTATAAAACTTTTTCAGTTTCATCCCTTGTCAAATATCTATATTCTATTTCCATTTCTATTATGGAGGAAAAGTCTTCGTATAGGGCCCAATGTTTGACATAATAGAGGATCTGAACTCCATATATAAATAAACAAAAAAAAAAAAAACAAACTCTAAATATAATAATGGGGGGTGCGGCAACTCGTACCTGTTTCGATCTGCATCTTGAAGAACTGATTGGATATCCTGAAAATGGGTTGTCATTTTTTGGATTTCTTCCTCAAGAGCCAGGGCAATCCCAACATTGTGTTTTATCTCTTCGGGGATCATCATCAACGAACCCAACTTCTCCACGACTGCTGAAACAATTGATTTCGCCTTTGCTTCTTCTTCAGATTCATAAAAAAAATACCAACCTACGGTCCACTCCAAACTATTTCATAAGAAAAAGGAAACCCCAAAAAAAATTGTGGGCTTTTTTTGCTTTCTTGCGAAGGTATAAATGGGAAAAACTATATTTTCTAGTACTTTCCTTTTTTGGTAAATCTCTCCGGTAATTTCCTGTTACTATAATAATAGGGTTTTTATATTGTAAAGTCACAACCACAATTTATCAATTTTATTTTAAGATCAGCAGATATAAGTAGGATGGCAACGGGTAGGGACAGGACGGATTTTTGCTCGTCTCGAATTCGATCTGATTTTACATCCGTCAAATTCAAACTTGATTCGATATGAATTTTTTTATTTTTTTTAATACTCGAATTCGATTCGATCCGAAATTAATAAAATATTATTTTTTAAAATATAAAATATTATTTTTTTAATATAAATATTTAAATATATAATTATATAAATATATAAATAAAAAATTATTTTAAAAATTATTTTTATATAATATCGGATCGGATCAGGTTTGTCTAAAACTCAAACCCGATCCGACTCCGACCTTTCCTTAACGTTATCTGATTCGATCCGACTCGAAACCTAATTTAAAAAAAAAAAATCGACCCTATAGAGTCTGGTCGAGGGCGAATTGAGTTGACCACCCTAGATATGAGATGTCATGATAACTCATTAGAAATTAAAAAATTTTAAACAATGAAAAATAAGGAAAATGACAGAACAGAATCAATTAAAAATATAAAAACAATTTTATTTATTTTATTTTTCTAAGAAATAAAAAATATTTTAATTTATGTATTCTATACTTATTTTCATCTATTTTTATAAACAATAACATTAAAATAAAAATTCAACTATAGATATATATTATTTTAATAAATAACATTTTGTTATTTTTTCATTATTAACAAATAACAATATTACAATAATAATTAATACAAATTTTAGTATTCATCTTAATAATTTTTTATTTTTTATTTTAAAATATCAATTATTTTATGTTATCTTTTTTAATTTTAAAATAATATTTTAATTATTTGTGCTATATATTATACAATTTTATTTATATGATTTTTTCTAATCTTAAAAATTTATTAACATAAATCACAAAAATGAAAAGTGACAGTTATACCATTTTAATTGTATGATTTTTCTTTCATAGATATTTTGATTACAAATTTTGACGTCTTTTTATTAAAAAGAATCAATATATTTGAAACGTCATTCAGTCCAAATATAACATTTTTTACTGTTACATAAATATTTTTACTACATAGCAAAAAATAAAATTACTACACAAATATTTATCCTAATAAATTTTTAAGATCCTAATAAATTTTTAAGGCTAAAAGTTATATAATGATAACTTTCAAATATTAGTGAAATTTTACTGTTCCCTTCACTTGTTTTTGTTAATAAAATTTAATTATTTATTAACTAGTTTAATACATATTTACAAAAATAATAATTAATTAAAATTTTACGTTACTAAGTTAATTATTTGTGTTATAATAATATTTTTTATAATTTTTCTTACATTCTGTTACGTTTAGAATTATCATAACTCTTTATTATTATATTAAGACACATTTTACACATTTTACAATAAATTATATAAATTTTACGTTTTCTCTTGTATGTTTAAGCTACCAAAACTTTTTATTATTATTTATTAGATTTTTTTTATATATTTACATGAACAATAATTAATTAAAATTTTATATTACAAAATTAATTATTTAAGTTATAATTATATTTTCGTATGATTATTCTTATATTCTAATAAATTTAAATTTATCATAACTTTTTTTTAGTCTCTTATGACACTTATTACCCATTTTACATTAAATGATATTAATTTTACACTTATTCTCACATATTTACATTACTTATTTGCTTTTTAAATTTTTGATATTTTTAAAATATATTTACAAAAACATAATTAATTAAAATTTTACACTGTAAACTTAATTATTTTACGTCATAATAATATTTTCTTACAATTTATCTTATCTTCCATTACGTTTAAAATTATTATAACTCTTTCTTAGTGTATATTACAATACTTCTTATTCATTTTATGCTAAATGATACGAATTTTATGATTCTTCTCACTTTTTTACATTATTTATTTGTTTTTTAATTTTTAGTTATTTTGATTATATATTTACAAAAATAATAATTAATTAAAATTTTACATTCTTACTTAATTATTTATGTTATAATAATATATTTTTACAGTTGTTTTTACTTTACATTATATTTAGAATTGTTATAACTCTTTCATATTGTGTTACAATATTTCTTACCTATTTAACAACAAATGGTACTTTTACATTTTTCTCATTTGTTTATGTTACCTATTGGTTTTTTTAATTTTAACTATTTTCCTTATATATTTATAAAAGTAATAATCAATTAAAAGTTTATATTATCTACTTAATTATTTATATCACAATAATATTTTCTTATAGTTGTTCTTATTTTTCATTATTTTTAAAATTATAATAATTTTTTCTTACCCATTTTACGCCAAATTATACAAATTGTACGTTTTCTTACTTATTTATGTTGCCTATTTGTTTTTTAATTCTTAGCTATTTTCTTATGTATCTACAAAAATAATAATTAATTAAAATTTTATGTTATCTACTTAAATATTTACGTTACAATAATAATTTTTTACGATTATTTTTACCTTTCATTACATTTAAAATTATCATAACTCTTTAATATTGTTTTACGATATTTATTGCCTTTTTTACACCAAATGATAGTAATTTTAGGGTTTCTCTCACTTGTTTACATTACAAATTTATTTTTTAACTAGTTTATTACCGTGCAATGTATAAATTATTTTTATTTATTTAAATATATATATGTATAGTAACAAAATAGATTTATGTTTTTTTTTATTATTGTAAATATTATAATAAATTTACTTATTTATTATAATATAATTAGATTTTGTTACTAACAATTTAAAAATTATCCACGTAGATATATATTTGGATAACTAAATAATATATATGAAGTAGTCATTTATTTAAATTTTAAAAATTTTAGATAATTAAATAAAATTTTAATTTTTTTGACAAATAGTCTAAAATTAATAAATATCTTATATGTCATTATAAAAAAAAATTTAGAAAATTTCTTACCTGTAAAAAAAAAAAAAAAAGCTATCTACCTAAAATTCTACATAAGTCATTTTCAACTTGTAATCTTCTATGTTGTAATATACTATATATTAGATATATTAGATTAATTTTTGAAGCCAATAGTGCAATTATTTCAATGCATAAAAATGTATTTATCCATTCTAAGTTGGTAAATTTATGAAAGAACACATGAAATTACTGGCAACTAAACCAAAACTATGCTCATTGTCCCCTGTATATTCAAACAAAACCTATTTTTAATATCTTCACATTCAAGGAAATGCAAAACAAAAAAAATTGAAAATATTTCAAAGCAAGAACAGCTTTTTAAGCAATTTTGTTAAAAAAAATTAAAATTTTTATAGGAACTAAATCTCAACTACCTCACTTTCTCAATGATGATGGATTAGAGCTTGCAAGCGAGGTCTTGCGATCAAATATTACACTTCAAATTCTTATGTGCCAAAACTCGTTTCTTTGAGTTCTTAATATGATGAGTTTGTTTTTACTTTACCAGTCGTTCCTACTTTATCATTAAAATAATCTAATGAAAAAGGAAATTAAAAATTAAACTTAATCAATTTTAGTGGAGCTATGCATTCAAAATTTATGATATATATGTATATATTTACATATTCTTAAAATTTGACTAAATTTAAAAAAGAAAGATAATTTTTGAATTTGATATTTTTGAATTTAAAATTTATACAAAATTTTTAATCTTTGATAGATTCTCGTTTTGAATTTAAATAATTTATTAAAAATATTTATTTTATAAATAAATTTTAGAGGATTATATATCTAAGAAATTTTTAAATTTTAAATTGTAGATATCGATTTTGTCCGGATCTACTATTTTCAGTTCTAGTTTAATATTAATAGTAATAATTTTAATAATAATATTAATAATAATATCGGTTTAATTAAAAATTAAAAATTAAAAATATTATAATAATGATTAAAAAAAAAGAAAAGACAAAAACCAGAAGGTTGGTATGGCGCCGCTATCGCCCCTATCCAGCCCTTTGCCTGACTCCATTTGATCCAACCACCCTACCTAGTCCCATCAGACCATTAACCCATGTGACCAGACCGGACAACCACTAGACTAGACGCCATCTCTACGGCCGTTCCTACAGCCACCCCCTATAGCCCTTAAGACACCCATATCAACACAGATCAGACTCTATAAAGAACCTAGCTTCATCCCCTTCTATTCTCTCTCGGACACCTAAAAAAATTCCCAAAAATGCGATAAATCCCACACCTAAAAAACCTAAACACTGCTTTCTGCCACCCCCAGAAACCCCAAACTATTCCACAACTAAAACAATAACAAAAAAAAAAAACAACAAACAAAAGACAAAAACAAAAACACAGTCCTCCCCGTAGGGAGAAACCCAGCGTCGAGCCACCTGTACCAAAGAAAAAGGCATTAGTTAGTTTCCAAACAGAAAAACAAAAAAAAAGAGGAAGAAAAAGAACACAGAAAACTTCAAGCCTAGATCTACGATGGTTAGGGCTACTTCTCTTGAAAAGGATGACAGATCTGAACTCAGGAGGTCAAAAGGAACCTTTTGGTCAGTTTTGAAATTTTCGATCACCGGTGACCACCATCGACGGTGACTCAGACGACGGTTGATGCGGCGGTCCAACGATCGGACGGCGGTCCAACGACCAGACGGCGGGAGATCTGGAGCTCTCCCCAAAGCTCTGACCCTTTTTTTTTCTAGGGCAGAAGAAGAATGAACCAAAAAAAAATTTTAGTTATATATAAAAGCTTAAAGTCCAAAACGACGTCGTTTTGAGTGTAGAAGGATCCGCGCGTGCCTGTTACTCGACCCGAGATTCGTGCAAACCAACCCTTCCAACTTGTTCAACCAACCTTGAA